AAAAGATTAAGTATTGACTCTCAGGCAAATATAATGTGAGTATATTTGGAAGATTTTATTTAGCTCATTTTTATTAAATGAGAGGACCAATAAGATGTTAAAACTGGCCTAAAGAGCATTTGAGAAGCTACCCACACAAGCACACACACCTACAGGAATATTAGGATAATATTTGTAATGGATACAAAATTGTTACTTTTGGGATTGTCTCTTCCACCGGGCAGAAATTGTGTACATCTCTTCTAGACAAGTCTACAAGATACCTTTGACCCTACGGAGTTGGAAAATAGCCTAGTCAATAGAAAGTCAGGCCTAGTAAGAACACTCAACAATTTCTTTTGCCCATTTCCAAGTTATGAATAATTTTTCTGATACCTGTACTCTTAGTACTTTTAATGCTAAAGTATCCACAGTCCTCTACCTACTTACTTCCTTAGTGATCTCAGTCTTGTGGCAATAAATAACAACATTCTGATGACTCTCATCTCTATAGTTCAGACCTCTTTCCTGCACTCCAAGACTCATCTATGCAACTGCCTCCAGCACAGTGCACTTAGCTATCTGATGGTAAATTTAAATTCAGCGTGTCTGCAACTACACTGCTGGTTTCCCTTCCATGAAACCCTCATCCACCTCTGTCCCCCATCCCGGAATATTGGCTACTCTATTCGTTTAGATGATCAGAAGTTATCATTGCCTTATTTTTTCACACTCCATAGGCAATACTTTAGGAAACACTAATCTACCTTCAAAACGTATCGGAATCTAATTACTTTTCACCACCTCCACTGCTACCACCTCTTTTATCATTAAACATGTCCCTGCAGAAGGGTTGAGCTCCAGGGAGTCAACTTTCCCAAATAAAGCAGGCTTTGATCTATCTGAGGGTTTAGTTCTCTAAACCTGAATATATAAGCAGGTCTCCAGAAAATCCATTCTACCGAAAAGTTCAATAAGCAGTGTTATTAAGTAGAACATTATTTCTTTGATTTATAATTGCTATGTAGCTATTCCTAATATCCCCAAGCACACATGAAACAACTGCCTCTATTTAAGTATGTTGTGAATATTGTTTTATTTTTTTCTATTCATTTACATAAGTGGTAACAGTCACTACTAAAAATAATTTCTCTGATGTACATGTCACTCTTCAGAGAACCTGAAATGTGCTGATGCTACATATATATATATATATATGTACATATACATATGATTGATTTATTAATCTATTTATTTGTTTATGCACAAAGGCTCTATATTAACTTGCTAAACTGCCATAGCAGAGTACCACTGGGTAGCTTAAACAACAGAAATTTATTTCCTCACAATTCTGGAGGCTGGAAGTCTGAGTTCAAGATGTCAGCAGGGTTGTTGTTTTCTAGAGGCCTCTCTCCTTGGCTTGTAGATGAGCATCTCCTCTCTGAGTCTTCGCAGGGTCTTTTCTCTATGCCTGCCTGTGTCCAGATTTCTTTTTATAAGGACATCAGTGGTGTTGGATTATGGCCCTAACCCATATCACTTTATTTTACCCTAATTACCTCTTTAAAGGCCCTATCTTCAAATACAGTCACATTTTGAGGTGCTGGGGGACTAGAACTTCAATGTATGAATTTTGGAGGGTCATCATTCATGCCATGACACTTTCACTTTAGTAATGGACATAAATGTCATGCTCACTTAGGTTACTGGCACAGATGCCAAAGAGTGAGTCTGAGCTACCACCCTGCATATCAAGATTTCAAAACAATGGAATTCAGGGCCCAGCCTGTGCATCCCTTCCCTTTAGGTGCCCCTTGGGGTCTGAGGTATCTAATCTCAGTCAAACAAATGATTATAGGACATGTTTGTATCTCTCTCAATTCAACAGAGATGAAAAGACACTGAAAAACAGATAAAAGGTGCATCAGCAATAAGTCATATCCTTAGCAAGTAGTAGTAAAAAAGAAGACTACTCTGTGCTTGCAAAAATTCACTATTGTGTTTTGTTTCACGTTAGAGAAATCATTTTTACATACAAAATAATTCAGGAAATAATTCACATAAAGTCAAGTTTCAACTTTTCAAACTAATCTTTTCCTCTGTTGTTAAGCAGAAATTCTAGAAGAGTTCTGTAGTTGGGGACAATAGGCTAACCTGAAGGAGAAAACAGTTATGATTTATAAAACCACTAACTGAAGCTTTAAGTGTCTGGCAGTATTCTGGTTATTTGGAGCTAAAATCTGCTCTGTTTCTGATTTTCCTTTATCAGTCGTGTTCACCATGGTAATTTCAGTAAAACTCCTCTTGCAAATGTTTTTCTTCTAAAGTACAAAGTACCGTCTTAAAGAAGAAGGCTGACAACCTGGTAGGAGTGGGTGTTTGGAAAATTAATGAAAGTATTCTGCTTTCTTCATGACTGCTGTGGGTGGCAGGAGATGAGGAAATTACTGAGGGGATACGGTTGGATGAAATAAACATTTGATCTTGTTTTGGGATAAAAATTAATCTAATTTTTGAGGTAGAAAAATAATTGAAAATGTGCTAGGGAAACTTTTTTATTTAATTCCCACTTTGGAGTATGGATTGGTAAGGAACAAATTTAGCCAACACCTGATTCAGTGAATTCTGCTTGGGTTTAGATCAACTTTCTTGGGTCTACTTGGAAACATAACTAATGAGACTTGTGGCACACCATCAAATCCCCTCGGGTTCCTTCTAGTTTCCCCCCCTTAAACGTGGAGGCGGTAGAAGCTCAGGAGTTCTAAGTACAATAAGACTCAACTGGAGTTGTTCAGAAAATGCCAAAGGCAGGGCCCTACCCAGAGATTATACTTCAAGTCTGGAGTGATATTCAGATATAAGATTTTATTCTATTTTCTTTGTTTAAGTGCCCAAGGCAATTTCAATGTCTAGCTAGAGATGAGAACCACTGTATTTATTGATCCAAGGGGCCCTTCCAACTTTACCATTCTAAGCCACTTTACCTACAAATTGACTTCAGCTGGACTTAACTCTGAGAGGAGTACCAATTAAGTACCCTGGCTTTCAAATTATCTTTCTGTTCAGTATTCAGGAAAGAAAGGCACTTGCTTTTAATTTAGGAACCTAGACTCTTTATTCCTGTTTATCCACTCACTATCCAGAATAAGCCCAAGTCGCACCAGCATTCAGTGCAGAAGAAATGCCTTCCCTGTCAGAGCACATTGGTTTTCGAACAGTTTTATTACTTAAAGTTTGGTCAGAAGGGCTTAACTAGATTCACCATTATATATTTTAATATATTATGTATATAAAAATATATTCATGTTTTTATATATTTTATATGTATTATAAATTACATATATTTTATGTGTGTGGAAATGGTCAAGACAAAGTTAAAAGTAGGATTCTCAAGTGACTACAACTCTGTGTTGGCATAGTGGATAATTTTTCTCATTAGAACAGTGGTGCTCGTTCCTGATGGCACATTAAAATTGCCCAGGAAGCCCTTTTTCTTTTTAAATATGTGTTCATTGATTTTAGAGGGACACACACACAAAGGGAGAGTGAGAGAAACATCAGTGAGAGAGAAACACTGATCAGCTGCCTCCTGCATGCTCGCCACTGGGGATTGAGCCCATAACCCGGTCACCTGCCCTGACTGGGAATCGAACCAGTGACCTCTCGACCTCTCGGTGCATGGGGTGCCACTCACCCAACTGAGCCACACTAGCCAGGGAGCCTAGGAAGCCTTTTAAAAAATCTTCGTGCCCAGGCTCCATCCTGGACCAAATTAGAATCGCTGGACTGGGCACCAGTTGGCTCTCCTTAGAGCCTCCTAGGTAATTCCCAAATGGAGCCGTGCTGAGGAGCGCTTGGTCTAGAATGAGGATCTGTGAGCCAGTGACGCAGCTCTACAGTGTGGCAGCCGCTTCCTTGGTTAGAAATGGCACCTTCCTTCCCCTGGGGACTGTTGGCCTTCTGCTCAAATTGTGAGGGAAATCGTTCTTTTAAATGTTCTGCATTACTGGACGACAACTGTCGCTACGGAAGACAGCAAATGACATGCTTCCTCCTCAGGATACTGAATAAGCGGTCTTCTCACAGAGCCCCGGAAAGAGAATTGAAACAGTTGGTAAAATGAGCGCAACAGACAGAAAATTTCTAGGAAATGAAATTTTTAGGTCATGTTACAACTAAAAATGTTCAGTGATGTATGCCTTTTAAGTTACTGGTTTATTGTTTTCTGGTAAGTAAACAATTCCTTTTCGTGTCATTCCTCTCTACCTAGTGTAGATTTGTTATATCCACTGAAAACTTAGAGCTCAAAGTGTGATACTGTTATACAAAATGTGTGCTTAATTGTCATTCTGGAGCTTGGTTCTGGTATCTACCCAAAGCCTATAAATCATTCTCAAACAAGAAAATCAAGTAATTAAGCTCTCTGGCCTGAATCGGATCTATATTTTCTACCTTCAGCATAAAAAGTATTCACTCATAGAGCTAGTTAAACTCCCTTTTAATGAACTTGGATCAAAGAAATGGCTTGCTAATGCTTTCACAAACACAGGGAGTGTGGGGCTGATTTCTTCCCAAACACACCAAATCCACTGTTGTTTCAGTGGTCTGCACAGAAAGTCAAAACTGACATACATGAAAAAGGGTGATAAAGTATTAATAGGAGTTAGTAAAAAAAACAAAAACCCAAAGCGTTGTCTTCACAAACTACACCTGAGCTCTTCTTGAGATCACTCTAGGCACAGGGGTGGGGAACCTTTTTCTGCCAAGGGCCACTTGGACATTCTCGGGCCATACAAAATTATCTATTTAAAAATTAGCTATAAAAAAGCTCCTAGATTTATTGAATTTTGAGACCCGCCTGTGGTTGCCTTGGAAGTGCCAGACCAAATGATACAGCCTGTGAGCAGATGTTCCCCACCCCTGCTCTAGGGCATGTTGCAAATTCAACAGTTTATGGTCAGTTGCCTTTTATTCTAAAAAAAAAAAAAAAATCACACAAAACAAGCAATTATTTAGAATGAAATAGTTGGTTTAATATTCATGGACTTGAGAAAGAACTTGAATTAAAATTCAGTCTGGGATCTGAATTAGCACCATCTGAATACAGAAGTAATTCAATATACATGCACAAATTAGTTTTAATAACATACACAGGTAAAATATATTTGTTTTATTTGCTATACTTGTTTTGAAGAACCCTCCTTGGGGTTAAACTTATTTTTATTAAGCTGGGCATGATACAGGTTGAACGCCTCTGAGTTCCAGGGCCTTAGCAAAATTCACTTCCAGCGGCTTGCCGGTGCCTTTGGTGAGCCTCAGGGATCGGATGCAACCTCTGAACGGAACGTTGATTGTCAGGCCAAACTGGTTAAGGCCATCTGAAAAGCAAAGCCAAGAAGGCTCAGTTTTGAAATGCAGCTGCTGTACGAAAGAGCATGTTTCAAGGTCAGCTGCTGGTTTGAGATTAAATTGGGAAGTTGTTTAATGCAAAGTTAGTGATTCTTAGCTTTACTAACAGCAAAACTTGCAGAGAAATGTCAACTTTTTATAGTAATATATTATAAAATTTGGAGACATACATTTTAAGACATCAAACAAATAATTTGGTTTGGAATGAACACCTTTACAGTTATGACTTACAATGATTAAATTTGACTTAATAAAACAAAGCAATGGATCAAATACTTTACCGAATGAAGACATAGGCTTTTGGTGGTGACTTCATTCCTTTCTTACATTGCAAAAATAAATTCCAAATTATAAAATTGGTTGAAAACTCACGTAAAATCTTCCTCTCCTTAAGTAGAGACTCCTTCCCTCAGCAGGCCTACTAGGTGCTAACTAGGATATCATTTCACAGACTGTGAATGAAGAAATATTATCTCCTTTATACTATCTTGGGGTTTTTCCTGACTGAAGCAGAAGCAGGTCTTGTTAAGACCTACTTGTTAAAACGAAGCAGCTTTGGAAAGAGGAGCTCTGAATTGGTCCTCATTAAAACCCTGCATCTTTTTCTCAGTCAACCACTGCTGAATATACATTTTGCTTGTTTTTTTTTAAGCAGAGGAGCTTAACTATAAATGGGGACAAAAGCTTCTCTTGCCAAAATGCTGAAGGACCCTTCCAGGAGTCTGTGTTAGTACGGTACTTATTAAGAGGCACTTGGCTTATTTCTCATCAAGTTGGGCACTCTGGTTTATAGGCACTTTAGGTAACTCTCTGCAGTTCACATGCTATTTTTAATGTGCTGGAGAGTGATTTCGAATACAGATTTATTACTTGGGTTTCCCTGTAATATAAATATAAATTCTAAAACAACCTAAGGGGGAAATTAGCTACATTTAACCCAATGATTTCCAGAACTTGAGGAAATAAGTTCCATAACATTTTATGATTCCTCGGGTATATTAATTTTTAAAAATTCAAAAAGAACACCAACTCTGGCCTGGATTATTGTTAAATGCCTCATATCTTTTATAAGCCAAATTCATTTCCACTATCCCCCGTCGCCCCATGAATAAAACTTTGGGGGCTATCATGAAAAGTTCAGTCTCATGTGGTTTATATAAGTAATACGCTCATTTTATACACTGGAAATTTCAGGGAAGGTGTTATTTATGGGTGCAGATTCTAAAGCTAGGAAGCAAGTACGCTTATGTACACATTCTTGGACATATTTATAGAAATATAAATTTTTAAAAAATCGTGAAGATAATAGAACAAAGGAATTCTTACTGGGGTAGCCAACGCTCACCTGGGAAACCTCCAACAAACACAGGGTCATTGGTGTCGGCTGATGTAGACGCTGGGTTTGGGCTCTGGGCTTCCACCCGGTTCCCATCTACTGCCAGCTCAATGCGGTGTTTGATCTTGTTGGCGGTGACTGTATGCCACTGTCCGTCACACAGATGCCCTGGGGTCCCGGCATCATAGACGGCAGTGAACCGGCCGGCGCCATTGTCCACGTGAAACATAATCTAGAAAGTAGGAAATTGAACAATCACAGATGGTTTCATTAGAAGGGTATCGTGATGGTTCCCATGATAAAAATGGTCAGGTCTCTAGGAAAGACATCAGCGGGAAGAGTTTGACATGAACGTAACTGGGGCCTTAAAAAAAATTAAAAACTTGACTAAAACTGAAACACAGATTTAACGACCAGGAGTCACAAATTATGTTCTTTGCTTTTGGACATTGTTGGGAGCAGTAGGCAAGATGTGTGAGGCTAGCACTAATTCTGCTTTTAGAGAATGTGAAATATAATTTGAGACTAGCTGACAAAAAAATAGGACCTAATATAAACAGGGAAAATTCTACCACAGATCTTTTTAAAGTGTGATGGTTCTTAGTGAACCTTATAAAATTTTTCTAAGAGGTTTAGAGTGATTCATTAATTTGGCTTACAAATTCATTTTAAAGGGTTATTGTTTTTTTCAACTTAAGCTTTTGATGTTTTAATCATATGTATTTTTTTTTTTCTTACGGATTCCATTTTATATACAGGATTGAGAGTTACATAAATTACTTTTTTGGGGCAGGCTTCATGTCACAGGTGCCAAAAGCTTTGAGCCAGAAGGCCAGTTAAATTCTTAACAATGAAGAACTCAGATTGGTAGTTCTTGCCTAAATGGGAAAAATCTGTTTTCAGTAACATGGACTGGTCCCTGAAATTCGAGATGACAGAATTCTTTTGAAGCTGATGAAGAAAAGAAACATACTGAAACATTAAAAACAGCCAATTTGGCAACACATTTGACAAAGTAAAAGAAACAGGAGTTTAAAAGGAAGATTAAAAGTACAGGAAAATAGGTGAAAAGTTTGTAAACGATACAGTGGTGAAAATATTAGTTAGATTTTTACTATATTGGCTGGAGTTTGTAATAAAGGGATTTTGCATGTAAATGAAGCTTGGTGAGAAACCCATATGCGTTATAGTGGAACTTGATACACTGACAAGTTGCTAGTAACTGTGATTATAGGCAGGTGATGAAATGAAGCTTATTCCAACAAGATGTAGGGAAAGCATGTTTTGAAAATCTGGCAAAACTATTAAGTGTTGCTTATTTGTTCCCCTTTTAGCCTCTGTGCTCCTGGATTTTTATTTTATTTTTTGCTTTATTGCCTTTGAGGATGGTTTGAAGACTGAGAGGAGGGAGGCAGGAGGCAAAGGACTGCATATTTTAGGTCACGATGAGGTGTTTCTTCTTGGGAGGCAGCAACACCCAAAGGGTGGAAATATGAACACAGTTGAAGTATGGTTCCTATTTAATAGCCAAAAACAAAACTTACGAAATTTCTTGCTTTGCCTTACTCTTTTTACCTGCTTCTATAGTACGAAGTATTATCATTGTAATTAGCTGGTTAATATTAATAAAGGAAAGAAAGCAAAGGGGAGTCAGACGTGGCAGGCATGGGCCCCGGGGAAGCTTCAGCAGGAGGCTGCAGCTCGCAGGGCAGTGCTCCTCCGGGGGGACGAGCCCCCTCCCTTCCCATCCCACACTGCATTGCTGGGGGAGAAGGGGAGACGGGCACATGCTCAGCAGGAGCTGGGTGGCGCAGGGCGGTGCTTGCCGGTCAGTCTAGCCTGGGGAACAAAGGATTGGCTGGAGGGACCCCATCGGAAGCTCAGAGAATTTTGGAAAGTTAGCTGGTTAGTTTGAAGAAGCTATGGGCTAAAGTCCCCAGAGAGCTCCCTGGCTGTCTTGTTCTCTCTTGCGTCGTGTCCCGCACCTGCCTGTGTGTCGCCCTTCTCTCCATAGCCCCGTGGCCTCAGCAGCCACATGGCCCTTCGGGCCTCACATGCAGGATGCTGGACTGGGTGGTACTTTAGCATGGAGCAGAAACTACGGGCAGTGGCCTTTGTTCGGGCCCTGCTGAAGGCACGGTTGGACTTTCTCCGTGGCGGGACGGAGGGAAATGGGACATTGGAAATCCAGGGCTTTATTTCCACTTGAATAAATACCACTCATTGTCCCGTTCGAGTCTCAGGAAATTCTTCCCTCCTGACATCACAGGAAATCCATGTCCACCTAGGACAGTCCCACTGCAGGTGGCTATTCATAGGCAGCCAAGGACTAAAGTGGTATTTCTATTAGATTATCCATTGTAAGCAAATTCACAAAATACTTTATATTATACTAATATTAATTTTCTCTTTTTTTAATCCTTACCTGAGGATATTTTTTTCCCATTGATTTTTTTATAGAGAGCAGAAGGGAGTGAAGGGGAGAGAGAAAGAAACATCTCACATCGTTGTGGGGCCAGGGTTGTGGGGCTGGGGATCAATCTAGCCAGCAACCAAGGTACGTGCCCTTGATTGGGAATCGAACCTGTGACCCTTTGGTGCACAGGCCAGTGCTCTAACCACTGAGCAATGCCAGCCAGGGCTAAATTTTCTCTTTTTTGAAATGGTATCTGCATGCTTTTAAATAGAAATTGAGAAACCAGTATGTCTGCTAGCCACTGATTATTATAAGAGTCAAAGACAAGACTCCTTTTACTCCCCGACTAAAATCAAGACTTTCATAGACTTTACTCACAAAGATGAGAGTAACAGTGTACTTTTGGTGACACAGTAAGAGCTTGAGATCTAAACCTATTCAATCTATTCTTAGTCAACACAATCGGCTTACTGTAGTGTTAGCACATTTAAAGTTTATACCAATCTACAGAATAAGTGTATTAAAAACACACATAATTGAGATAATACAGAAGAATGAAAAGGTACAATCTATCTTTCTTCCAACAAAGAATAAAGTTCAAAGTAGAGTTTCTACATCAGAACAACAATACCATAAGAAATCAGAAATATTTAGACAGCTGACATTACCTTTTCATCAATCATTTCAATACCCATTCCATCCATTTTCTGGCTGCTGACTCCCAGGAGAACTCCAGTGGTTCTAGTTGTGCGGAATTCAAATTCTACAAGGAGGTCCAACCCCACTTTGAACCCACCAACTGTAAAATAAAGATTAAAAAAAAAATGCAGATTAGAGTTTAGGGATTGTTAATTCAAATTTGTATAAAGGAACAATTTTACTAGATTTTAATTCAGATGTTAGCCAGTTAAATAACTAAGTTCCAGACTCTCACATGGCCTATACTTCCACTATTATATTATATAACACACGTTGTAGTTATTGCTTATTTTCTTGGCTGTCTTTCCCCCTAGAATGATTTCCAAACCAAAATTAATCTTTCTTCTAAATATCCACAAAACCTGCTTGCCTGTCTTTTATAGTTTCATTCATTTTACTTGCTTTCTTGTGATGTATAAGCATATAGAATCTTACCTACTGAGAGTAGTACATTCTTGAAGAAACACCATCTTATTTACTTCTGTTGCCCATGATATCTACATATTATGTGCTCAGTAATTTTTTTTCTAACGAACAAATGCATGTGTCTGTGGTAGCCATGGGACTAAATATTCTGTCTTGATCTATGTTAATGTCATATTTTTTGTTACTATGTAGAATATACCTCATGTTTTTCTTCCTAAGCTGTGCCTTCCCTATCAGTGATTCAGATCTGCACTGGACATGTTCCTTGGAAAGGGGGAGATACTTAAAGTCAGAGCAAGGTGTCAGTAGCCATCACCATGAACAAGAAATGGGCACCAGTTGGTATGCATTGTGTGTGAGGGGGAGATCAGGAAATAAAGCCTGGCAAGGAATTGAAGAAAGAAATAAAAGAAATGTTATCTCATCTCCATGAAGGTAGACAGGGAAAACTTAAAAGTAGATAAATTATATGGTCTAAACATATGAACCTTCTTGCAGAATTATATTTATTTTGCTGTTATTGATCTCCGGGGAAGGAGATGAAATAAACTTTCCAAATAGCCTTTTACTTTATTTCTTCTATTAGTTCTTATCAGAATCAGATACATTAATCTTTCAGAGGCATTTTTATTACTTCTGCACACTTTTATTTCTGGTTTAAATAAAGGATACTACTTTAGGACCACAGAGACTTTCATGCTTCCACACAAGCAAGTTAATATTGGTACCTGATTAATATTCCACAGGAAGAAAATGAATGCCCCTCACCTGCTTTGGCAAAACCTGTTCCATCAAAATATGTTCCTTTCTGAGCATTTGCAAAACATGTCCCAACATGGAAGCTGGAGGTTGGCTGTTCCAGGTCAGCAGGGGCCTCTGCCATCTGTAGATTCCTGATGCAGCCATCAATGCTGTAGGTCACCTGTTATGTCAGAAGAAACAAAATCAGGTTTTTGCCTCTGTGTGGAATGCAATCATTTGCTGGGTGCTCTACGCATGTCATCATTGGCCATTTGTCTTAAAGCACCCCCAAACTACCTGGATTGCACTGTCACCCCAGGCTTCACAGCATGAGCTCGGAGAGTCCTGTGTTGCTCCTCTTGGCTGGGATGCTTCCAGCCTGGAATATGGTAGTTCTGAAATTCTAAATACTGCGTAGAGCTAAGGGCCCATGTGGGCATCATAACTTTTAATTAGCCTATGTTTCTATTAATAGTTTTTCAACCTTGCTGTATATGCATTTACCCGTAATCTATGTTCAAATTCTGTTTGAAAAGATAATTAGGTTTGGTGCAGTGTTTCTTCCTTATGAAAATATAATGAAAGCCGTGAACCCTTTCCTAAGAAAATGCATGAACACATAAAACCTGAGAGTCTGCACAAAACATCCAAAGCTTAGGGACTGTGTAAATAAATCAGTCATATTTGGCTCCATTATATTCCATCTGGTTTTAGGGATGCAATGTAATCGCTCTTGCCATGCTCACTTCCGACGCTCTCATTTTGATAGGCTCAGGTAGCATATCCAAACTCTATGAGAGGAAGGCAGTATGGATCATCCATTAGAGGAGCCAAGTGCTGAGAATCAGAACCACGATGAGCATCGTCTTTGATGAGGAACAGCTCCACATTATGTGTTCTGACTTGCACATAGAGATGTATCACATTGTATGGAGCATGTTCTCTAAAAACACAAATCCTCTGTGCTTCCTAAATCATGCTTTCTAATACACGTGTTTATTAGGTGTGTGGAATGCTGACATCTTGCATAAAGTATTGTCATATAATGGCCTCTACCGGGGGAGCAGGCTCCAACATTCATTATTTGGTTAACGTCTCTCAGTTTTGTGTGTGCTTAAACTTTGCCAAAATCCCGCTTCGTATGAATTCATTTTACAACATTCAATCAAGGTTTACACAATGAGCTGCTACTTGAAACCTTAAAACTACACTGTTCCAACACTGGTTTGCTATTCCCATGACAAATGCATTGGTTTCATGTTATCTCTTGTAAAATACACGCATTATCTAGAAGTATGTTTCAACTTTTGAAGAAATATACAAGAGAAGTCCTGTGCAAAATAAATAAAAATCATGCTTTCTAAAGCAAACCAGGACACACATTCCGACAAAAAAATTATTTTGTGAATATTGACTTACAAAATTGTTAAGACTTTAAATTCTGAATGTAGTGTTGGATAACCATAATCTAAAAACTGCATCTCTCAATATTTGCTAACTCTCCAGTTCTGAAACAGTATCCTCAATGCTATCTCCATCACCCTCCTTGGTGTCCCATGCTCTCTACACTTGGTACTCTTTCAAGTACCTTAACTATATTACCTCACCTAATCTTTACAGCAAACCTTGTGTGTTTGGTATTATTATTATTCTATTTTACAAAAGAGGGAACTTTGTCAAAGAAAGCTTAGGTAAGCTGCTTAAGATCACATAGCTAGCCAATAGTTAAGCAGGTATTCAGAGGGGGCCTGCCTCCAGCATCCACACTCCGCTCTGTGATATTGCCTCTCCTAGTCAAATCTGTCTGGAAGACCTTCTGCCCCTTCTTAGAAAAGATGACTTCCTTCCTAATTGTAAGTGGTCATTGACCAATGTGACCTATTAATTAAAAATACATACCTGACTCAGCCAGATTATTTAGGCCACAAAGAAACAAATTAGACACTTACTGGACCAATTCTCCGGGTAGTGTAGTTGATGGGTAGCCCACCAACATACAATATCCCCACAACATCCAGGATATCAGCTTTCTTGGGACTGACGGTTCTGTTGGAGGCGTCATCTACGTAAAGAATTCCTTCTTGCTTAATTCGAGTAATCTTAATCTACAAAAAGAAGAGGAGCTATTAATGCCAATCATGGATAAATTTCAAATATGCAGAGGATAACGCATAAGAACTTGAAGGATATTCTTCAGGAAAAGCAAAACTAACTTACTGAGTGTCTAGATGCGCTAAGCCCATAATATAAGTGAAAATCTTCCTGGATGAGTTTTAGATTGAAGACTCGTCTAAAGGTTGCCAAGTAGGCATGTTGTAAGGAACCGGGCAGACTGAGAGCCCTGTCATGACTACGTGAGCTGCAAAATTCATGTCCGATTTTAAAGGCGCATTAGTTTGATTGAGCAGAGCTGGGCGCCCCAGCACAGTTTCAGGTGCGCGGCGTCCCTGTGCCTGACAGGCCTCCTCCCGCAGCCGGAGGGGAGCGCGGCGTCCAGGCTGCCCTGCTGCAGCCCCGATCAGAGCAGGCCGGGAGGGGCGGGGAGCCGGCGATGCTGAACTCGCAGCAGCGCAGTGAACTACCTTCTGGGACGGAGTGAGAGGGGGCGTGAAGGCTGGCTTGAGCGGAAAGACCTTGAGTCCGAATTCAGAAAAAGGCTGTGGCCCCGCGTGGAAGGCCGCAGTACAGCGATGGCTTAACAACGAATCTACCTCGGACGAGAAGACCCCATGTTACACTTACTCTGCTTTGCGAAGTAATTTTAAAAAAACCTTCAACAATAAAATCCCTTCTTAATGTGTCCGCTCATTGTATTTAAACTTTCTTTTCCTTTCTTTTTTTTTGGTATTTAAACTTTCTTTCTTAATCCCAGACTCATTGCGGCCCAACAATGTCTTTTTCTCAAGTGTCATAATTACTATCCTATTAGCCAAATATGAGACTAAACCCGAATGAGACTGCCTTTATAAAGATCAATATTTGCAAATCATAAGCTCCTGAGCAAATAGAAAGATTCCATTTTTCATTCCAAGATAACGAATTGGTTGACATCACATTTTTATTATATATTTTTAGGCTCTTTAGCTTTTTATATGATATGCTAATCATATAAAATGTTAAATGAGCATTTAATAAGTCCAAGCATGTCAACATATAAAATACAACATCTAATAACATTATACTCTGAAAATTAAGCATTTTATTGGTCTACCTAGGGAAACTTTACTTCACAGGCTATCACAGGTGTGGAAACAAACTCTGAGTTTTCATTTTAATCAGGCAGTATATTATCTACTTGTAGTCATGCCAAAGAGGACAGTAAGCTGGCAAATGAGCCTTCTGTGCCCATAATAGTACCAGTTTCTGGGTGCAAGGCCAATGTTTTAAAAGTTGTTCCAAGTGACTGTCTGTGGAAATGATACCCTAGAGCCCTTTAAACTCGATACAACAGATTCCCAGACCCTTGGTTTTTACAGACCAGTATGCGGTGGGATGGGAGGATAATTCTTAAGGCCCATTTTAGTATTGCCCGCTTTTAAGTTTGTCAAATATAATTTCATAAAAGAGAGGTCCTTTTGTTACCTTAAAAGTAGAAAAATATAATCTCAGAATAAATATTATTCCTTGAATTGAATTCATAGCGCTTTATCACGAACATGCTTCATTGCCCATGCCTCCCTCTTCCAGCAGCAAGAATGTCTTCAAACTACCTGGCCCTTGTCTGCAGACAGACGTTTGGGAAACACAGCTGTGTAGCAATGATGGAATCTTGTAGCACCATGATGAGGCATGTAAGTGGTCAAATACAAACCTACCCAGGTCTGATCACATTTCCAAGGTTGGCAGTTGTTTACAGCACTCGCTTTATTTTTAGCCTGGGCTACCTTCCAGGAGCACCAGGTCTGTGTCTGCACTGGCAAAATAGTTCTGGCGCCAGGGGAATGCTTAAGGCTGCCATCGAGAACCCGCCCTGTAGGGCACTGCCAGCATCCTGGGGACTGTTACCTTGTGCCACTGGCCATCATTGATTTTGGTGGGGATCATGGTGTTGGTGTCACCGCTTCCTAAGTCATAACTGAAGTAGGGAAATCCGTTTCTCAGCTGAACAGTAGCAAAATCCGCATGATTGATCCGTGCCATGTAGAAGAGCAAGCCTGATTCAGCTTCGGTTCGTACCTCGAGTTCAATCGTGAGGCTATGAAATAAAAGCATGCAAAGTAAAATCAGAAGAATGAGAGCCTTCTTATTCTAAGACAGAGTGGCATCTGCTCATGGGTGAATTTTCGTACAGGACAGTTAAACCTTTCCTGAGATGAGGACTTTCCAGCTCTGCTGATTTCCTAAACCGGGCTCAGACAAATATAACTCTATTCTCTCCTGTACTCAGTGAATTTAAAAAAGCTCACTTCATTTATTAATAAATGTAGTTGATTAAATTTGAATAAATGCAAATACTCAGTATTTCCATTTATCAGTTCTTGTCTCTTATCTCGGAATAATACGTACCGGTTTTTAACTTTGGTGTCGTCAAATGCAATTGCAATGTGACTGTTTTTTGACAGCCCGAACTGCTTGCTCCCTATCAAAAGAGCTGGTTCTGGTGCTACAGCACAAGGACCCTGTAAAATACCAAGGAGAGGAACAGGGGAGATTATGGACCCGTCCTTTAAAAATGTTATGCTGCTAATTGTTTCTTCTATTTTAGTTTAATGTCACATAATTGTTTTAAGTTCCTTAAGAATAAAACAGTCTTTCAATCCTGTATTCTACCACATAGCAGGTATTTATAATTAAATGTTTGGCTAATGTGAATCAGTTTTCTTATATTGTACCTTTGAATTGCCTAATGAAAATTCACTGATTAATTCATGTTTTCATTATCCTCTAAAGAAAAATGTTGTTTATATTTCTGAGAAAACTGGAATTCCCTTTTCAATTATGAAGAGTTTTATTCTTTGAAGCTCGAACAGGGAAAATGACAAGCTAGCCATTGGGTCATAGGAGTAGAAAACTGTGTTCCTTTCTGCCCTCCCCATATCTGTCTTCCACTACATGACTTTTTCTTGAAAATTATGTCTACTAGAAGGTTTCCATGAATTTAGACTTTCAAGATGGTGTCTCTAAACTTGCAAGTCAGCCCATTCAGGTCCTTAAGCAGTTGCTAGGCAACTCGGCACTTTTCAAAAAATGTAACCCACCATTCACCATTTCAGCTGCCACTGTTCCAAGATCCACTTCCTAGGGTGCTTATGAGGGCGGGCTTGGAGGAGTGGCACCTGCGCGTCACTGGCTTTAATGCTCTGCTGTTATTAATTCGAAATTCTTAATCATTTTTGAACAAGGAGCCCTGCATCTTCATTTTGCTCTGGTCCCTGCAAATTAGAGAGCCAGTCTTGTCTGGGTGGACCATGTTTGGCTACTGTAGCCCTCAGCTCAATAGCTAATCAAGGCTCCTCAAATTACCAACCACAATTCCTTTCTCTGTTCTGTATTTTCACAAAATAGCTCAATGCACAAGCTGCTTAGGAAGTCTTTTGGAACATGCAGTACATGAGAAAATAAATAACCTGCACTCTCTCAATAACATCTGTTTTTAAGATCTGCACTTAACAGCTCTGGATGGGCCACTGCCCCAGTGAGGGCTGACTCAGCATAGGCTCTCCAACAGTCCAGGGCATGCAGAGTGTTCTTTCCAAATAGTGTACCTCAGAGATGACTCATCAGCACACAGGACATTTTTACTTGATGAGGAAAAGCCTGGCTCTCTTTGCTCTTGAGCTTAGCCGACTAGAGCACTCTGCCACAGCAGGTAAGAGGCTTTAAGTGTTTTGAAAGGTTATAAAATTGGTCCTCATGGAAGCAGTATTTCCCTTCCTGCTTTCCAGGAGATGGTCAGTTACAAAGAGCAGGCTGTTGCTGAAATTCACAGATACCGAAAACCCAGTGGGTAGAACAGCAATGTGCTATTTATTCACGCAGCTGAACGGCCTCTCTTGGAATCAACATATGGCACCTTTCCTATTACGCTGCCTGCAAAAAGAGCCCAAAGAGCAAGGCTTCAATGATGCTATTAATAGAATTGGAGTCATTTTCATCCTTTCACGATATTTTGTACAGAGGACCATCACAACAAGCACAAGCAGCCTGCGGTCCTCCTCAGAAATCCCCAAGAATCCTACCTGCCGGGAGTCCACTGATTTTGGTTAAATGTCTCTAAACCCTCCGCTCTGAAAACCGAGGGATGGAAAAGGTCAATGGATTCTGAGGAATTAAGGAGCAATAACGTGCCGCCTAAAAGAAACCCATCGGTACGCTATTTCCATGTTCTTGTTACCACTGTGGTTACTCATCTAGTTACTACATATAAGCAAAATAAATTTTCTAATGTAGTTTGTAAAATTATCAGAGTGGCAATTGTAAAAGTTAGGTATTTTGTTGGTCACAGCTGTTTGCCATGGAGAGCTTTTGTCTTAATATATCCAGGGCATTGTGGCCAGGACACCATGATAACCTGGCTTGCTGGTATCCCGGACAGGTATGTCCAACTCTCATCCTGAGCTGAGGAGAAAGCAGTTCTCTGTCAATCCTGTCAGATTTTCTAAATAAAAAAAGGAGGTGCTTACATGATTTTAGGGAAACCTTTGACCAGGAAAGGACAGGAGTTTTGTAAGGATCCTTTTAAAAAGCACTATATAACACACCACTTAAAACTTAGGAAGAAGAGAGCCTGTTGGAGGGTCCCTGCAACAGGCGGATCTTGAGCAGCAGATGGAAGGAGTGGCTAATAAAACAGTGTCCCCAGATGGACCAGTGTCATAGCAGAGAGTGGTAAAAACAAACGGATCTCACTCTATTAGGTAACCCCAAAGTATAAAGGTTATGCTAAGTTCATTGTTTGTTAAGGACATCCAAATGGGTGCTTACTATCATGAGTTTGCAATGGAATGGATATTATGGTTATTGCTCTAATAAAACTTCTATTACCTTCCTTTACAAAATTGGCAGTTGCAAGAGGACTGAGAAGGGCCAGTGTGAGAGGTTTTATATGTACCAACTTTAAGATTTAAATGGGAAGACAATTCTCCAACCTCTAACCTGGTAATGTTTTTCATGCAAGTCGAGGGGACTGGATGGTGTCTGCTCTGCGTCTCTTTCCCCCCGGGGGAATCTGAAACCAGGGACAGCATGTTTCTAGAGGTTTGCGGGCTGCATTCTCCCCTCCCCCGGGCCCCTCAGAGGGTGGAGCTGCTCACCCTGCCTCTCAAGAGTCTTTTTTCCTTGTAACATTTTAAAGGGGAACTTGTGAGATGGAACAGAAAGTGCCCTGTGGTTTCTGCAACCGTAAAATGATCTCGTTGTTAAGGACATTTTCAACCCTGTTGCCCGTAGAAATCTAAGTTAAGAAAGAAGGGTAGGAGGGTCTTCTACTTTTAAAGAATAGTTGTTGCAAGATGAATCTTCCTCCCCCAAGCCAATGAGAGCTTGAGAGGAGGCATCGTCTTTATGGATGTGATACTCTGCCTGACTTAGTTCGGAAACACTGGTCTCTGAAATGTGTTAAAACAATAATATTAACAATAATAATAAAAAAAAATGTCCATGTCAGTAGAGGCTCATCAATCTCAACATGTTACAATCCTGCCACCTTGTGGGGACTCTTTAAAGTACTACAAGCACGTAGGGGGAAACGTGTGGAAGGACAGGATCGGCCTGCTTCCTGTTTGTCCCTGCTCGGCAGGTGGCGAGTTGTGGACAGACAAGCCGGGGTGGGGAGTCTCAGTGTGGCGATGCCCCTGTGGTGAGGGCGGTGGCGAGGTCGGAGAGGGTTCTGAAGGCAGGCGTGCTGCCCAAAGCCACGTTTAGGCCCGGTGGAAGGGCAGCCGATTACCAATGGAGCAAGAACACCTCCACCCTCACACCGTCACTCATTTAATTTCAGGTCAGAATAAAGTAGTGGTCATTTCCAAGTGCTGGCTGGCCGCTGACATTTGGAAATGAGTTGTTGGCTTCAGGATAGCACATGACTGGTGGATATGCCTTCCTTGTATTTAGATTGGTACTGAGCAGAGATTTAAATTGCATTTATCACAACTGGCACCTTTGTTCTTGAGAGCACCAAATGACAAATGATCATAAAAATTGCATCATTTTTTTTTTTTTTTTTTTTCCCCATGAGTCAACAACCCCCTGTAACAAACGTGGGCTAAAATCACATCTGAGAAGTTCGGTGTTTCTTTGTGATGATCTCCTTTATAGGTGAATACTAAGTGGAAGATACTTTTTGCAGCAGTGAGTTTAATGTTCTGAAACATAAAATCCCCACTCAAGCTGTTTATTGAGAAACTGAATGTGTAAACTCCCTGCACACGAGCTCTTTGGGTAAGCATTGGGCACCTGCAGTAACATTTACACACTAATGCCTGGATAATGATTGCTTGCAGTATGGAAAATGTGTGTTTCCCCTTTAAATACATATCAGTATCCAATCGATTTATCCTTCAGCCTGGGCTGTACTTAGTTTTTAAATTCACAGCCTTAAAGCTGCTGGAGAAATAGCTTTCTTTGCTCTACTCTTGCCTTCTCTGCTCACTTTTCCCCTCCGACTCTCAAGAGCCCTTAACAGCACAGGGACTCTTCATGCCTACTTAATGTGGCTCTTATTAGTGATCGTGTTTTAAACTTTGAGGTTCCAAGTTCAATTTTCTAACAAAATTCAAGTAAAAAAAAAAATGCAGTCAGCTTGTTGTATACAAATCCATGCGGGCCACACTGGTTATAAAGACTCGCGATAAACACCGCATATGCTTGCAGAGAATCTGTCACGTTTCGACAAGTTTCTGTAATACTGCCAGTCCAGTCTCTTCTCTCCCCCACCTCTCGCCATCCTCCGTGGGAAACATCCACAAATCCGATATGTGGACATGGTTTATTCAGCTCTAAATGGGCTAAAGAATAAGAGAGAGGTGGAAAGAGAAGATGCTACCCCACTATCAAACGAGGAGATAGAGTAAAAAGCTCTCTGATCTATGATGTTCGGATGTGTTTATAATAGGATTGATATAATCCATTTCACAGGGCAGGGATATCTCAAGGTGCTCTTAATGGCCCTGGAGCACAGTGACTGTCCTGATGCTGTACGTTGCTGGTGGGAGGGGCGTGCTGGTGAGAAGAAGGAAATGAAGGAACCGAGCACAGGAGATGGTTCCTGTCAACGGCGCTAAAACAAACAGCAGATTCCTACACAGGCAGTTCCCACTTCAGGAATTAACGTCTAAGTCTTAATTCTTAAATATAAATCCTGACTTAAAAATGTTTTCCTCACGTACGTAATGTCACAAGTACGTCGTCATATTTTGCGTTGTTTCATTGCAAGATTTTAAATATAGGAGAGCGGCGGCATAGTAAAATTTGCACTTGATGGACCCGTTTCACAGTTGCAGCTACCACTAGCTTAATGGTGTTGCCTGCCATGCTTCCAGTTTTCAATTTTGAAAGCTAGTGGGTTCTGCTTGCAGCTCACACTCAGCACTGATCTGGACTATAACCTCCACACGTATTGCCTTACTGTGTGACTTAGGTTAATACCTCTTTCTCAAATCTCTGTCTCTTAGCTTCTCTCTCTCTCTCCCTCTCTCTGAGTGGCAACGATAGTATATTATTCACCTTTGCATTTCGTAGGCTCTTAATAAATATTTGTTATAAAATAGTCAAATCTTTTAACTACTTTTTTATATTTTACTTTTCAATTACAGTATACATTCAATATTATTTTGTATTTGTTTCAGGTGTACAGCATAGTCGTTAGATAATCATATACCTTACAAAGTGTTCCTTCTGATGTTCCTTCTGATATTTCTAGTACCCAACTGGCCTCATCTATAGTTATTACAATATATTTTTTAAAATTGATTTTTAGAGAGATGGAGGAAGGGAGAGGGAGACAGAAACATCGATGGGAGAGAGAAATATTGATGGGCTGCCTCCTGCACCCCCCCCACTGGGGACTGAGCCCACAACCCAGGCGTGTGTCCAGACCGGGAATTGAATGGGTGACATCCTGGTTCATGGGTTGATGCTCAACCACTGAGCCACGCAGGCCGGCAGTTATTCCAACGTTAATGACTGTGTTCTCTACGCTGTACTCTTCATCCCCGAGACTATTTTGTCACCACCCATTTGTACTTCCTAATCCTTTCACCTTTTTCACCCGGCTGCCCTCCCCCCCTCTGGCAACCATCAGTCTGTTCTCTGTATCTGTGAGTCTGTTTCAATTTTGTTGTTTGTTGATTTTCAAAGGACTTCCACATATATTATCTCATTTGAATCTTACAGCAACCCCACGTGGTGGGCCAGGTGGGTGTACCATCCACATTTTACAGAAGATAAAGTGATGCTTGAAGTAAATGATTGGTTTTCCTGAGAGAAGACCATTTGGCTTCTCATTTAATCAGTACTTCTAGTGACAAGGAGCACACTTCTTCACAGACCTCCCAATTCCATCATGGAAGCTAAGGAAGGGAATAAGGCATTCGAGAGTTTTCAAAATCTGCACTCAGGGTAACTCAACCCATCCACTGGGAAGCATTATAAACATGACCCATGTGTTGTCAAGAGTGCGGTGAGACCTGCGCTCTCTGACACACTGATGGCCAGAATGTAAATTGGTGTAACCTTTAGAAAAAGCAGTTCAGATGTATGTGTTGAGAGCCTTAGGCAGATTCATCATTTGGCCCCATAATTCGCTACCTAAGAACCTATTTAAAAAAAAAATCTATTAAAAAAAAATAATCAGAAAGAGAGAGTTTACTGTACAGGGTGTTCAACAGAATATAGTTTCTAATAGTGAAAAACCAGTGGGGAAGTAGTAAAACCAACGGGGAAATTGCAAAGATAGAGCGTTGCAGTGATAAGGAGCCAGACTCTAGAGCCGGACCCGCTGGATTAAGGTTCTGATCCTGCCATTTACTGGCCGTGTCAGTGGGTGAGTTACTTAGGCGAACTAGTTCTTACCAACATGACTAAAAATGGGATAATATCTATTTACAGAGCTGTTATGAAAATTGCATATAATACTGAATGGAAATGGTTTAGGAAGTGGCTGGCACATAGAAAGCACTTAAAAGTAGTCATTATGTTCATTACTATATAGTAATTGTGTCATTTATTAAATGCTTAGTATATGCCAGGCATTTAACAAACATTAACTTTTTAAATCTGCATAATAGCTCTTTGATGTATGTGTTGTTAATATCCTCACTGTACAGATGAGAACACTGAGGCACAGGCTGGCTAAGTAATTTCCCAGATTCATACAGACAGTAGGTGGGCGTGCTGAGATGTGAACTCAGGCAGCCTGACTCTGGAGCCCATGCTCTAACCAAGGATATTCTATTCCCATACCCTGAAATATTTTGTCTCTATACGTGTGCGTGCACATGCATGGACACATACACGCACATACATGCTTATATATCATATTTACATCATGGTTAGAAACAGTTTAAATTATGCATTACCAGTTATTAAGAGCAGAATCCCAAATGGAGATCTACCATGTGAAATGTAAGTAGGGTTGCCTCTGTGGGTGGTATTATAGGTGGATTTCATTCTTGATCCTGAAGACATTTCTGTGCTTTCTAACTTTTCATCTGAAAACATGTGCCATTTTATAAACAGGGTAGTGAAAGGAGGGCAGATATATAAATAAAAGTTATCCAAGCAATATGTAAGGAGAATATGTTTTCATGGCAGGTTGCCCCTCCTATAATTCTAACAATAAAGAATAGTAAGTATTCTGAACGAACTTCCTTCTTAAAATGACTACAAATTGTAAAGCTCTAAGTACTTACATGCGCCAGAACAGGAGTGGGCGTGGGGAAGGCTGGGGTGGGCACTGACTCCGGCTGGATGACTACTTCAGCTGGAACTCCTCCATCTCCATCCTCAAGGGGTTTCTGATGGGCACACCGCCCAATGTCTGCATTTTTGAAGGATACAGGCCGTGCAAAGTCCATGGGGCTAATGGAACATAATTAAAATGAAACATTTTCTTATTTCTCATTGTTTCATTTCCTTACAATCTAACCAAATTACCCTCCCCGGTTTTACTGGCCATCAGGGCAATTTTCTAACTCTAACTTGAAGCTCTTCACTGTTTCCTTCGCCCTGTGGTTTTGGGCAGTGTGGATGCAACAGTGATTCTCATACCAAAAAAAAAAAAAATGTAGTAGCACGGAGATTCACTTACACAGAGTTGATAACGAGGTTCCATACACAGCCTTCAAAAGGAGGAATGTTTCTGAGTGGGGAAGGTTGGAATTCAGGTGGAGCACCGCCCACGAAAAGCTTTTTGACTTCGATCGGCTGTTCTGCCGTCAGGTTTTGCGTATGCCTTCTGTCTTCATCCACTTGAACCGTGAAGATGCTGACAAAAGGTTTAATATAAACAAGTATAAAAAACACATAACATCCAATACAATTGGAAATCAAACTCTTTCATTCTACCCTAACCCCTCCCTCCATTAGCTTTTAAGTGAGCCCAAAGTCGATGATCAGGTATTCTACATTAAACAAAGGATGCTGTTTCTCAGGCCCTGAGCCCTCTGTCTCCCTCCTTAACTCTCCCTGAGCGTTTACTTAAAAGAGGCAATGGTGTAGCTACAACATTAGCCTCTGGTGGCGGTGACAACAGTGGTCCCCAGCCCAACACATGAGCCCGCAGAGTGAAGCTTCTGCGCCGTGGAGCAGTATCTAATCCGATAAGGCTCAGTGGGTTTAGCACAGCATGGGGTCACTTTTCATTTGGCTATTTCTTGGTTTGTGCCTGCTGTTATCTTCTTACTAAGGGACAAAATGTACTCTTGAGAGCTTAGATTGCAGGAATCAACAGTAGGCACTTACAGGACATTTTAGAAAAAATGTGGCTGCTGGCTTTTGCATAGAAGAGGCAGGCAAGAACACCAAGCTGATTGTTCCTTGCAATGATTTTTTCCCCTTCAGTGGCTGTTTCATTAATTTCCCTAATTTGCTTATGAGAGATAACTCACACACTACTAATTGAGAACCTCACGCTACTTATTCACAATCCTTGAATCCTGGGGCAAAGAATCAGAGGACACAAAGAGTTCTGATGATGAAAACAACCAACGGCATTTTCTCTTCTGTTCTACTGATTTTTTTAGAGGGAGAGGAAGGGAGAGGGAGAGAGAGAAACATAGATTAATCAGCTGCCTCCTGGGGATCGAACCTGCACCCCAGGCATGTGCCCGCGAACCGGGGACCTTTTGGTATATGGGACAAGGCTCAACCAACTGAGCCACACCAGCCAGGGCTTTTCTCTTTTGTCTAGAAGCAGGTTTTAAACTTCAGTCCCAGTCAGCATGGGGCTATTAGTCATCAGGGTTAGTCTCAGGCCTGAGGATCATGAATGGATTGCTGAAAACTTACTTCACAGCTGGGGAGAAAACTCAGTCCTAAAATGCTATCTTACTTGATTTTATCAGGAGTCAAAGCCACATATAGGACTAGAAACAATAAACTAGTGCAAAGATGCTCTGAAATGGCACTGCAAAATTGGTCTGCGTTGGGACAATTCAAATGTAAGGGAATGGAAAAAATGGATTATGTTGTGGCTCAAAATGTCATTGTTCAGGGGGAGGAGGCAGGTTGAATTTAGTTTCAAAGGGAAAAATAAGGGGAAAAGACATGAGGGGTTTTTTGGGGGGGGTGGTTTGGTTTTGTTTTTTATCAGATGCTGTGTTGGCAAAATTCAGGAGGTTCAACCTCATTGCTAAGAATGCTGGTGGTTTTGTGAGACTTAGAAAACCACTCACTTCTGGGTGTGACTCACTGAGTTGTCCTCCACTTTCCTTCCCCCAATACCTTTTGTTCTTTTGCTAAAAGCACCCTCTTACTAACATGATATAGCATTGCTCCTAAGGGTTTCATGAGGGCTTTAAGCCACTGTTAAAGACTTTCCAAGGAAAGCACATCTCTGCTCTTGATTAGAATTTTTAAGGAGCCAGAGGCTCTTCTCTTTCTGATGAAGACTCTCTAGTCTGGTTGTGCCCCAGGGACTGTAGCAGTGGTCCTTTCTTACTAGATCACAGGGTGGGACGGAGAATACACATGAGCTTTCAGAAGGAACAGCCTGGAATTAAGTATCAGTGTGCGAACTTACTGGCTGTGTGAACTTGGGCCAGTCATTTAATCTTGCTTGGACTCATTTCATTCATTTATAAAATGAAGATACATAGTTCAAACAGTGGAAAACATTAATTAAGGGATTGCACGGAGGTAGTGTTACTTAATAAGGGCATTGCTAGAAGATTACAGCTAAATCCTGCTTATAATTTATACTAGGAGCATCAAACCTAGATAATTCAGTGAGGGACATAATCGACATAGCCATTATGATTCTGGTATTTTTCTGTTTTCAAGTATCTATTCAAAAACTCTTTACTGAGGACCTATGTGCAAAAACCACTGTAATAAAAATTACATTATTATTAGTATTATGATAGGTCAGCTGCATTTTCTTATAATTTCAATGGTTGATTCTTAGAGTTTCTGTTTCTTTGGATATTGGTCTAAGATTTTTTTCCAAACACCACCAATCGGATTGTATATGTAGAAGAAGATATTAAGAGAAGTGCCCTAATGTTTGTAATTTACATGAAAATAAAATCGGAAGCTTTTTTCATTGAACATATTTCAGATGGTAAGATAGAAATATCTGGGTTGCTGTGTCCAAATCATGACTCGATTCTGGGAAACCCACAGTGGTCCTGAAATATTCAATCCAACTCTGTGGTCTTCAGCCTAATTCTATTCCTGTATAGAGAATGCTCTTCCAGAAGAGGAACCTACTAGCCTGAGCATCTACTCCAGCTCTTACGGCTTGATGTTTTTGTCCAGTTAGAGCCACTGGCCATTTCGGTGGACTTCAGGGGAAGGACCAGAAGGCAAAGCAGCTATAGAAGCAGGGTTTGCTGGAGTCCCACGGAGTTAGACATCAAAGGGACTGACGTGAGATTCTTGCAGCTGAGGGGACAGGAAAGGAGGGCGAGTGAGGGAGGAGGGGTAAAGACAGGCAGAGAGGGAGAGAAAAGGTCAAATGCAATCTTGAAAAGTTTACCTCTTGATATGGCAAAAGCCCAATAATTTTGTGAGGTGGTATTAAAGTTACCATCTTATTTAGGGTTTTAGGGGAATAAATGATAATTGACATTTATGGTCTGAAAAGTGTTGGGAGAAAGTAAATATTTCCAGATTGATTAGAGTATCATAATCAACATGAAGCTACAAATCTATGAGGTCGCAAAAGGGGGCAAGGATAAATAGTTGGCGAGCACAGATGGAGGTGTTAAAGTCATATATATTTATGGTTTTAAATTACTAGCTATGTGATCTGGGGCATGTTAGTTAATATTTCGCCATCCGTGAGGAAAGGATATTAATACAGATCTCACATACATTTAGAACCATTAAAGGACATAATCTTTGTCTAGCATTTGACACAGAGCATGCCACAGAATAGGTATGAAGCATTAAAAATGTTTTAGGTGAAGTTCTTACGGTCATTAGGGATCTCTGGTAAATCAGTTAATTGTAACACTTGGTTACAGGACAGGTGATGATTGTTTTTGACCTTAGAGTGCCGAATGGGACACTGTGACAGCAAATGTGTTCTTGCTATGCCAAAGAGTTCGGTGACTGCACTAATATGTCTAATACATTATCCCTTAATTAACAGCGAATGGCAAAACTGTTTGTTTATATGGCCAATTAACTGAATGATCAGCTTTCAGTGATGTACTATACACTGAGCTTAATCAAATAAAGGTTGGATTGATGGCCAACAGCTGTGAGGTTGGCAGAATAAAATGCCCTTCTTGAAGAAACACCTGTTAAAAGGACACCTTATCGCAACATTGTGATGCACTTGGACTATCAGAATCCTTTCTCTACAAAATAATGTATTTTGGATGATTTAGGGGCAACTATATTTCTGAAATCTGTGTTTGCTTATTAAAATTCTCTTAAATTAAAGCCTTTAAAAAAGTCCTTCCCACAATGAGGAGGATTAAAATTTGGCATAGAACCTGAAATCTGGTGTGGAAGGCACTTAAAATCAGCACTCTAGAGCATTCCCAAATGAGAGAATTCAGTCATTTCTCCTCAGAGACCATGACTGCAATATCTAGCTATTAAATTAGTAAAAGTTCTCACTTTGTCCAAATATTGATCCTTCGTTTGTCTTAATCATGGTTTCTAAACATCTCAGTCAGTAGACACTGTGAGAATGCTTAGTATCAGTTTGGCTCCCGACCTAAGGCTCTCTATAGTAACAAGACTACAAGCCAAGGAAGGCTCTATCATTTACTTAGCAGATAAGAAATCCTGAATACTTATCTAAATTGTTATCCGCACAAGAGGATAATTAGAAAATGTAGGTCTTTAATTTTTGAATAGCATCTTCTTACTTGAATTACTGCTACATATTCATACTGTTGTATCTAAAAGTACTGTGTTCTGAGGTTTCGCTAGATTTGGTTTCCAGTTCTTTTCTATGTCTCCAAGCTAAGAAATGCATTGCTGGCTTGGAGGTCTGAAGTCTCTGGGCTTCTGTTTTCTTTTTCTTTAATTGTCCTACTAAACAAATTACCACTCTGAGTTGTCATATATCATTTGGATGAAACATACAGATGACTTTCCCAGTAAAGTAAGTCTTAAGCATTCCAAAGACATGAGAGATCAGCTTACAACACTGTACATTCAGTTCCCTGGCTCAGGGCTGGGAAGCAAGTGCTTTCCTGGATCCTCAGCCTTTCCCTTCCCTGGCTCCTCTGCTCCCCCAGGAGGCCAGCCGCGGGGACCCCGCCCACCCTGCAGGAGTGGGGCTGAGGCACGCACACCCGGAGCTCGGAGGCCCTGCAGCTGCTGGACGCTCTGCCTCTGTAACAGGTTCCTGAGCAGCTGCCGTAACTGCTTTGGAGCCCGAATGCAGCAGCAGCAGCTGCCAGAGGCTGCCGGCTCGGCCGAGCGGCTGCGAGGGGTTCACCGTGTGCATACTTATTGCAGGGGGGCCACTGGAGAGGTGCCGAGGGAGAATTTTCCCTATCTATAGCTTCAGAGATACATGTGCTTTTTCCCAAGGTGGAGAGGAGGCCGGCACAGAATAACAATGGTGAGAGAGGAGGTCCTAAGGGCCAAGGTAAATGAGGCTTCTGAAGCAGGAGACGGAAAGAAATGAAGCTCCTTGGTAGTTTTTGGCAGCGCATCCCAGGGCCGCAGCACCCAGAGGCCCAGGCAGCGGGAGCCGCAGGGGCTTCGCGGTGGGACCGTAGGTTCCCCAGGGCCACTCTTACCCTCTCGCTCTCTCCACATGAACGGAATGTTCTCTCCCGTCGTGAAACAGGCTCGGCTCTGGTTTGACAACGATTTTCCTCATTATCCGTGCGCCTGTGGAGAGGTGCACTTCCAGGCGGCCCTTGTTCAGGAATACCGCATAATAGGCCTGCAACAGGAACGGTTATTCAGGATTAGAGAGGAACCTCAGCCTCGACCAGCATCGGGGGGCCCCTGACAGAAGCGCAGACTCATCTGCTCCCAAATCCTACCCGGGGAAGTGAAGACTCGCTGTTTTCTGAAGCACAGCACCGAGAGCAGCTGGAATAGCTCATTATCATTTACCAGTTTTGCTTGCTAGGGGATGCGGGTGCAGTAACGCAGTCTCTGCAGAGCAGGTGTGCGATGGGGAAGGTGTCAGCTCCGCTTGCCTTGGGTCTCTAACTCACAAAACCCATTGGGAAACAAAAATCCCCCC